TCAAATAGTATTCAATTAGTGCACGAACATTCCTATTTCTGAGGTAGCTAATTAATGTTGAAGACAAAATTAGTTAAACTTGGTAGAATATTGAGTTAAAACGCGTTTAAATTTCAACAGGCTAGATCAGGTTAATTAGTTTTTTTAAAAGTTGTATTGGGATGGTTATCCAAGAATGAAAGACGTACATTGTTACATAAAAATAATTTAAGTAATTTAAACGATTTGCCAAAAAACCGATAGGTGATTTATTAATAATTTTAATCCGTATATTTACCGACCATTGAGGCGATTTTTATTGCGAATATTTTCTAACGAAATCAGAATTTGATAGAAAGATTGGACAAAATGGATGGGAGATGATAAAGATAATATTCAGAGTTCAGCTTAATACTTTTTTATTATTAATTTATCCCGTACATATGTCCGAATGCTCGTAAGTTCTCATTGACATAAGTAACATTCCGAAACCGAATTCCCGAAAAGCTGTGCATGGCGTTCCGTATGTTCTACAGGAAACCCCGTCGTGCTGTATAGTTTCTTAATTTAATTAGATGATCCGATAAAGACGTCCGATGTCCATCTGTCCGTCCATTTGTCGGTGTTATTAGCAGGTCGTGCCATTAATCAAGTGCAAAGACACATCTAACATGCTGGACGTGACTGGTGACTGCAATAGGAAAGGGTTCGTGATGGCACCTCGGCAACTTATTAGCAGATCAATGTCAAACTGATGGCTCAAATTATTATTCACTTTCTATAGAGTATCAGATTAGAAGCAGATGTCTTGAAAAAGCATTTTCGATTTTACTTTGAAAAATTGCTAGTCTGTCCGGTATAATTGCAGACAAACTTCTCACAACTTAAATGTTTTAAATTTAATATTTCGTTCGGTTTTAGTTGCATAGCAAGAAACAAAATTAAAAGTAGATACCTAGAAATTATCTTTCTACTAAAATCATAAAACATAGCAGCAGCAAACAATAAGTTTCTATTCAATTTGTTAGTCGCTTGAACAATCATATTTATCTAAATATCGCAAATGCGAGAACAAAGCTTCGGAAAATGTGTATTAAGGAAGTGGAAAAGAAATGTTTGCTAGAGCTAACGTATTATATGAATATTTGCTATTAATAAATCACATGTCCGGTAAACTTTTAAATCATTATTTGATTTAGAACTATGTACATTCGCAAAATAATAAACAGCCACGCCTTTTTCTATATGGTTATTTGCTTTCAAATTCCATTCCGTGGATTCGGCCATTTTCTTATTCGGCTTTTTATCAATAACAATCCCCAGTCCATTCAGCAGTATCAGCACAAAAGCCTTAAAATTGAATAGCTGGTCATTGTGTTCCATCGTGCTTCCGTGTGCAACCCCTCTTAAAGCCCCTAAAGTCGGATTCCCAAAGTCGAAAAAGGGACCCGGGTGCTCCGTCATTACCCTGTCGAAACCTGAATGAACACAATCAGTGAAATGAAAATGTCTTCGATATGGATTTCCATATATGTATGAATTATACTATGACAGCTGCTGCAGAAAAGTGAATGTTCAAATCAGTAACAGTTCCTCACAGGTTTTGAGCTTTCAATTAAATTGATTTCTCTTAAAGTTAATTTTTACTGCAACCTGGACGAAAATAAACTGTGCTGTTTGAAAATGTGAAGAATTATTTATAATGTTGCTGACTCAAAACACAATACAAACTTTTTTGTAAACCATTGAGTTGCGCCTAAAATACATTTTGGGGATAAAAAAAATTTGCTGCGCCGCCAAACTTAATTTTTAATATTTGATTAGCATGAAACAAATAATTTATTTAGTACATAATACTTTTTGTACTTATATA